ATACAACTCTAGTTCCTACTATAGCTCTCTACTAGTTTTCTGTATTCTATCTTCTCAGATGTTTTATGAAGCAGATCTTTCTAATCTAGTTAGTCACCAAGCTAGGTTAGTATTACTGATACTTCCTGTAAAACAGATTTATATGTATTCAGCTTGATCTGTATCTTTTGATGTTAGTTTCTTTTTTGAATCAAGTATTAACTAATGTAACTATCAAAAGCTGTACTACTTCATTAACTCAACATTTCTATTATGCAGATTTTCTACTTGTAGATCCTATTAAGATTTATTCATATAATATTACATCTCACCAAATACCTTGTTATACTTCTAATATCTAGATGATATTAGTGCAATGTGATTTACAGAGTTATAACCTCAAAAATGAACAGGTTTATCATAAGTTAGGTACAAAGGTCTGAGTAATTATTCAAATTTATTAATAGTAGATTTTGAATTCCAGACCTTATGCATAGTAGTCTGATAATCTAATCACTATACTAAGATTACCAGATCTATTATCAAAGAAATTTATTAAGTTGCAAACAAGATTATATATTGAAAATTCCTACTATTTGTAATTATATGAAGAGTGTATAATAAGCTATATATATAACTTTAGTCATTATTTATTTTAAGTAGTCTGTTATATAGATATTAGAATACTTAATTAGTTTTATACTATACTGTCATATTTGTAACTTGTCTATATGTTACCTATTTAAACACTCTATTCATTAACTCATACAAATCTAACCTAATATCACTACAACATCTAACTACTTAAACTAACTAGCTTATTACTAATCTATTTATTCAAAACAACTTAAGTCTTCTCAAGATACTTTATACCAGATATATCACTAGTATTACAAAGCCAGTTAACTTTGAAGCAAACCTACTAGAGTAGTCTGTACCTATTTTATGAATTTATCTAGTTTAGACTCTTGTTAATATTTGTACAACTCCTAAATTCTACTATAATTCTTCACTGGTCAGTTGACCTAATCCTTTTCTAGTATCTAACTAGTCCTAGTTACCCTTTATCTAGAAATCTCGAAACCTTCTACTTTTATTAGACCATTAATTATAAATTTTATAAAAATCTATAATATTTAATTATTAATAACTTTTGATCTACTGAACTAATTTTGATAATTTAACTACTAAAATAATCCTCTCAATGAGACAATTCTAACAAGCCTAAAATTATAAAAATCTAATCACTAGATCCTAAGATCAATATGCAAAAATGTAAAAGTAATACTTAAGTACTAATGCGAATTTCACGTGTTATATTAATTCGGGTCACCCGAGTAGCAATATCATGACCCGGTTAACGAATATTATACGGGTCATCTGAGTGACTCTTATACGGGTACTATCACTAACTAATTAGATTTTAGTTGCACAAATACATATTTAAAATTATGCAATACATAGTGAATATCAATATGCTTTTTATCTATGCATATTTTAATTAGAGAAATTTATTCCTCACCTAAAGTGAGATCTCACTCCTAAATTAACCAATAAATTTTGCAAGATCAGGTATAATGTATGTGTTATAAAACAAAGAATTTTTTAAAAAATCGCTAATATCTCAATATTTTGACTATAAAACCAAAAATTTCTTGTTAAATTTTACATGTAGGATCCTAACTCTAAAGTCTCGAAAATGTTTTTTTTTTTTTCGAAGTAGGTGAAAAATTCCCATGGGTGATGAATAAATTATTTCTTTTAAGTAAATTAGCAAATGTAATATCAGATCATGTGATTTTAATTGCCCAATGAGATTAATCAAATATTCTATATTCGTTTAACTTCTAAGTTCAATATTAACGTTAACCAAATAATAAATTTTTGAACGGCCTATTAATTTTTAGTAATTCCAGTATTTCGAGATTTCAGTTACTTGCAGATTAGTTCTGGAAATCTCAAAGTGAGCTTTTTTAAACAGCCCTAGCGTTACCAATCTAAAAAATTTCGCTATCTGGTCGAATTAAAATTCAAGATCAGGTGTAACATAAAATCAAAACAAAATAAACCCAAACCCTAACCCTAATGTCAGTAGCGAAATTTTTTTAGGTTGGTAACGCTAGGGTGCTACTTTTTTATCTCGAATCATTTATTCAAAATATACATGCCTATTTTAGTAATATTACACGAAAGTAGAATAAAGAGATTCTCTTGTTTTATATATTTCTCTTTAAATTTAAATCATATATGAAGTAAAATAACAGTATTATTAATTTTTATGATGCTTAATAATTAGTTTTTTAAATTATCTATAATAAAGAATCTCAAAATGCTACAGGAAAGAACGGAAACTCATAGTTAATTAACCAATGTTATTAGAATGATGTTGAAATAAATAGTCAAACACAATTAAACGATTAACTGTAAAAAATTTTTAATCTATCTAATAAGTTATAGAAAAGCCCACTAAAGAGACTATATAATTTGTTGTGTAAATAGTGAAAAAAAAATTCATTAGTGAAAAAAAAAATTACAGCAATCCTCCTACTGTATACAATTACATAATTGGACGCAATAATTTTTTTTTTAAAAAAAAATGCTTATATAGAAGTTTTTTGTCTTATAAATTATCTGATAAATCATAGTTTGGCTTAAGCATAAATGAAATTACATTTAGTGGTAATTACATATTATACTGAGGGTTAACAATAAAAATTTTATTTATTGAAAGGAAGTTCCTAAAAAAATAAATTCTGAAAGTTGAACTGTCTGATTTTCTATTTTTTGCGTTTTAATAAACGGATCTGTACCCGTGGTTAAAACTTTATATTTTTGTTGAGCAGAAAGTTTATCAAAAGATAAATTTACAGGAATATTAGTGTTTATAGATTGATTTATATGTTGATTAATATATTGATTCATAGATTGGTTCGTAGGTTGGTTCGTAAGCTGACTTCTAGGTTGATTCATTACGACCAAATGCTTATTTTCCTTTTTTTAAAAAAAACGAAGGTTAAACACTTAGATTTTTATATGCAATAATATCAATGTAATCTAAATATTATATATAGCGCCATTATTTTTTATTTTTGAACGTTCCATTCACTAGATATTCGCGAAAAAAAAAAAAGAAAATAGAAAAAAATACGTTACCACTAATGATTTTTTTCTCGACGATAAGAAAAAAAAACGAGGTTCTTTTTCCTGAAAAAAAAATTTTTTGTATGTGTCAAAAAAATGTTTGTGTTTTACAAGCTGTTTTTTTTAAAAATATATAAAATTTTTAAAACTGCTTTTTATATATCATATGAGCCTTCTTGTAGAGTTAAAAGTTTAGGAAAAATATAGAATATTTATTTTATTTACAAAAAACAGACCGGAAGGCGATTTATTGTGTCTTTTATACAAAAATTACTTGAGGATTTTATATTTGGTACTTAAAATTTGTAGCATAATATAATGATAAAAAATAAAGATCCATTATAAAAATATAATGGTAAAATATCAATATAGAGTTTACAGATAGTAAGCATATATCTATACGTATACGGTATTTTATATTTAAATTGTACTTTAAAACTTAAAAAAAAAAAAAAAAACCAAATATATGATATTTGATCCGAAAATTTGATTTAAATTATATGCATACAACGCATTGCATATCTTATTATTAAAGATTAAGCGTTAAATAATATATATATATATATATATTCATGTTATCAGATGAAAAAAGATCAATGTTATATAAGTATTTCTTTTATTATTTAAATCTTTTGGCTACGCATTATAAATGAAAAAAGTATATATGCGCTTGAAATTTTTCTTTTTTACAATTGTGATCTAGTGAACAATAGGTATTATGTATTGCAATTTTGATTGTGATCTAAATAGTAGAACTGATTACTTTTAACTCTAACAGATCATTTGGCAAGATATGTAATGAAAACTCTGAACTTGGCCAAACGATCTGCAGAGTTACAAGTAATCAGTTCTACTATCTCGGTCACAAAATTGTGATACAAAGTTGATACAATATTTATGTCACTCGAGACAGAGCAACAATGAATATTGTATAACTTTATCAATACTTTTTACACCGAACAAAATTTACTTATTTGAGCATACAGTATCATTTCTTATATTCATTTTTTACTTATTTGAGCATACAGTAACATTCTTTATATTCCTTTTTTTGAAAAAAAAATAAAACCACGGTAAAATATTCATTTCGCGATAGGTATTCACTACCTAATTTAGTATAAAGGTTTTTAAAAACTCTCCTTTTACAATGATTTTAAGATAATGATAACTTTAATAAAACTTGACAATCTCGATCTATTAAGCTCTAAAATGGACATGCATAATTATTATGTAATGTTGCATTGGTATTTTTATTTGATATATCCAAATACGGTATATAATAATAAAATTTTATTTTTGCTTCAGCTAAACAAGAGTACGTACCAAAAAAAAGGCATTGCTTCGCATGAGACGTTGGAACATTAGAAAATATGCTAATAGCTCGAAATTTTACAAGGATTAGGATTGACCCATAATACATAGTGCGTCATTGGGATGTACAGTAAAAACTATCTGTATTGATTTCATTAGCCATTTTTATCTGCCTAATATCTCGATAATCACCTGATGAAATTCTTTTATTTAAAATTCTATAGAATATTAGACAACCTAGTTAAAGAATTGTATTCCATTTTCTATCTCAAAATAAACAATTTTTTTTTTTTTTTGATTATAAGTAATGCTAACTGAAATCATATAGTAAAGAATATATGTAGGAATGCCAAATTTATATTCAGGTTTTTCTGAATTAAAATAATATATAAAAATATTTAAAATAATATTTAAAAAATTAAAAAAAAATTTCAAATTTCATCAGGTGGTGTTATCGAGATATCTTCATTAAAAAATATATCTCAGCTTCTATATGATAGCTTTGAAACTTCAGAACTTGACGCAACTGTTATCGAGATATCTTTATTTAATTTTTTTATTTACAGACGTTTGAATCTTGGCCCAACTTTGATCTAAGATATCTCGACAACCAACTGATAAAATCAAATAAGATTTCTTTATTTTAATCCTTAGAATTTAAATAAAAAAATTTTCATCGAATTTTCATTTGGTTGTTATCGAGATATCTTCACTTAAATTTCTAAAAGCAAATTACCACGGCTTTATTTAATAGACGTTTTGAATCTTGACTCAATTTTCATCTCGACAACCACCAAATGAAACTCGATGAAATTTTTTTCTTTTTTATTTAAATTCTACAAATTCGTAGAATTAAAATAATAAAAAAATTATTCAAATTCCATCGATATCTTCGATAAAAGTTGAGCCAAGATTTGATATATGTATCAAATAGAAGAAAATTATTGTTTATGTGATATGATCATGCGATTTTTTTTTTTTGCATTGATATTTTTTCATAAAATTACGTAATCATTTATGCAAAATATCACTGCATAAATCATTAAATGCTAATCTGTACCCGATGAAATTCTATGAATTTTATAAAAATTTTTATAAATAAAATTTCATCGAGTTTCATTGGGTGGTTGTCGAGATACCTTCGTTTACAAATTACTGCGGCTTTATTTGATAGACGTTTTGAATATTAACTCAACTTTGATCGAAGATATCTCGATGAAATTCAATGAAATTCAATGAAATTCTCATTTTAATTCTACGGATCTATAGGATTTAAATAAAAAATTTTGGGGAATTTACACATAAGGGTCCAAAAATGAAAATAATTACGGATGAGGGCCCAAAATAAAAATTCTTACACATAGCAGCCCAAAAATCAAAAATTATTACAAATAAGGGCCTGTCAGATCTCCGAGCTATACTAGGCGACTAAGTTACAAACTTAAGTAACGTTGCCCAGAAAAAAGGTAGCCGAATTAAAATGCAACTAACTTTTTACACGAAAAAAAACTAAAGGTACTCTT